GCGGAATCGCCTGGAACTGTGTCGCCAGCTGGAACGCGAGGCCGCCCAACTTGCCCACCGAGGCTGAGTGGAGCTCCCCAGCAATCCAGATGTCTTGGCCACCGGCGTAGGGGCACTGGCTGGCACCCCGAAAGAGGCTTCAACCCTGGAATTCTCAGGGTGTCTCCCGAGGACTACTCCCCAAAGCCTTATTCCCTGCCTTCCAGCCCAGGAGCGGAGCACCGGACTCGCTCCTGGCCCTTGCACACTTTGGCCAGGCTTCCCGCTGAAGCTTCCCTGCCTCTCAGGACCCCCAGGGAGAGAGTCTCTCTTTCTTGGGGGCTCCTCTGACTCTGATGTGGGAGGGGCACCTTCCCACTTCCTCTCTCCGAAATTCCAGAGAGGAGTCTGCACCTGCTCCAGTGAAGGCTGGAGAGGTTGAGGCGGGGGTGGGGGAGGCAGGAGCTATGGACTTTCTGAAGGGGGTTGACTCCAGAGAAGTAGGAGAAACCGCCTTTCCCAGACCCAGGCCTTGCTCAGGTGGAAAGGGAGGGAGGACTGGACCCAGGGAGAAAGGCTGTGGCCCTGGGTGGCCAGGACAAAGTGGGACAGTGGACACCAAGATGGAGAAAGATGAATAAAGGCAAACGTGATGGATAAACTAAGAAACACAGTGTGCTTCTCCAGTGTGCCCAGGATGCTCAGTTAGGGGAAGGGTCAGCATCACGCTGCCTGGGGGTTAAAATCCATCTGTTGTGGCCCAAATCCTCCATGTCCACACCCACACCCCATCCACCATGCCGTGTCACTGGAAAGGCAAAGGAGGACCTGGAAATCTTGATCCTCACTATAATTCTTTAATGAGAAAAGGAAAAAAGAGTTCAAAAAAGTGGTGTGTGGCCCACGGCAAAAGCACAAATGGGACCCCTGTTTGCCTGGTCCCAGATCCTGGGTTCCTTCTCCCACCACTATCACGCTGGAGCTGGGAAGGGGTGAAAAGCCCACTTTCTGGTGCCCCCTGTCCCTGCCATTAGAGCTCCCAACCTACAAAGGGTCACTGAGGCCCAATGAGTCTGTGTGAAGAGACCCTGAGTGCCAGTAAGAGGGGATCCAGTGGGCACCAAGATCCCTTCTTACTGGCACTCAGGGTGGGAAGCAAAAATGCCCTAGGATCGCCCAGGCCCTGGGGTGCACTCACAGCCCTCCTTAGGGACTCCTGGGGTGAGTAAGAGCTTCCTTACTAAGTCAAGAGGCCAGTCTGCTACGCCCTCTCCAGGGGCCCTCCCAGCCAGATGTCAGCAGGGGAGGAGGAGAGAGAGGAAGGGAGGAGGAAAAGGAGGGGAAAAGGAGATGAGGCCACCACCCCAATCCAAGGCTGCTGGCTCCCAGGCCTAGTGGGAGGGACAGGGTGGGGCGGGAACAGCCAGCTCCCTGCCAGGAGTCAAAAAACGAAAGCACTTCGGCTGAGACCAAGACTCAAGCCAGGACTCTGAAACCGAGTGTGCCAGCTCGCCAGCTCTGGAACCTGGGAGGCTGGGGAGAGATTCTGGCCCCTCCTGCCCAACCACTGGGGACTGAGTGGGAGCACAGATGAGGTGTCTGCCCCCCCCTTGGGGGGGGCAGGACAGGGCCTAGGGCCTGGGTGCCACCTGGCACCTGGAAGATGCCTGTGCCTTGGTTCCTGCTGTCCTTGGCACTGGGCCCAAGCCCCATGGTCCTCTCTCTGGAGAGGCTTATGGGGCCTCAGGATGCTGCTGACTGCTCTCTGGTGAGTCTGGGGCCCTGGGAGGGTTGGGGAAGGCTCAGGGTTCAGAGTGAGGCCCATCAAGGCCCTAGCCTGGCTCCTGTCACTGCCGCCGCCGCCACCACCACCAGAACTGCCCTAGCTGGTCTGTCTGGTACTGATGGAGTAAGAGGAGAATGGGGAAGGGGCCAGAGCTGGGTCTGTCTTCTGCTGGGAGAGGCTTGGAATAGGGAGCCCTAGAAAGAGGTCCGTGGGGATCTCAGGCAGGGAAACAGGATTAGATTTAAGATCATAAATCCTGACGCTCCTTTACCTCCTTCCCAGGGCCTCTCCTGCCACCTGTGGGGTAAGTAGCCCTACTTTTAGAGAGAAAATAACTTTCTAGGTTGGTGGAAGGGAGGGGAGTTGTCCCAGTCCCATGCCCTCATGGCCTCCCCTCAGCCCCTGAAAAGCCCAAGCTCCTTAGCCCTCTGGGGGTGTCAATTGCAACCAAATTCTGGGTATAGAACAGCTTCAGCTCCCACCCTGCCCTTCATGCACAGATGGTGACATGCTCTGCTTGCCTGGGAATATCGAGCCTGCCCCAGGACCTGTGCTGGTGCCCACACACCTACAGACAAAGCTGGTGCTGAGGTGTCATCAGGAGACTGACTGCAACCTCTGTGTGCGTGTGGCCGTCGACTTGGCTGTGCGTGGTGAGCATGTCACCCATGTGCACATGTGAATGTATCTGGGATGGGCATGAGGATCAGGCAGTCTGCTAGGCAGCACTGGACCTCCTTCTGGAGATCACTGGCCAAAGGACCCCAGGCTGGTCTGGTCTCCCCATCCCCCACCCCCACCGCCAGGCCTCAGGCCTGGCCCCTGCTTCCCCGCATGCACTTTCTGGAAGAAAGCCAAACCCAAAGCCAGCCCAGAGCAGGAGGCCTGACCTGGGCCTTGTTCTTGGGGCCTTCCAGGCCACTGGGAAGAGCCTGAAGATGAGGAGCAATTTGGAAGGGCAGCTGACCCAGAGCTTGAAGAGCCTAAGAATGGTGAGGAACACCCTGCTGGCCCAACTGCCCCTTGCCAGGGCCTTGCCTGCGGCCCCTGGGGCTGACCAACTCTCGCCCTGTTGTTCACAGCCTCTCTCCAGGCCCAAGTCGTGCTCTCCTTCCAGGCCTACCCTACTGCCCGCTGTGTCCTGCTGGAGGTGCAAGTGCCCGCTGCCCTCGTGCAGCCTGGTCAGTCTGTGGTATGCAAAATAATAATAATAATAATATTAACCACCTTCTGAATATGAAATCTACAAAGTGCTTCCACACAATGTATCTCTTTAAGTTCTGACTCTGATCAGGGCTGTGGGCAAATCCTTTCAGCCCTTTATGCCCATTTTCCTGTCTGTAAAGTGGGGATAAGAAAAGTCCTACTTCATCTGGATGCTGTGAGAATTAAGTGAGGTGACAATGCCATGAGCTAGGTATTATTATGACCCTCATTTTCCAGGGAAAGTCTGTGGGCTGGATCCACTGCTCTGGACTTCCATCCATACCGTGTCTGCCCATGTGTACACCAAGCTGCAGGGTGTTGGGGCTACTCCTGGAAGTGTCCCTCCGCTTGGGCCAAATCACTCAAACCCTTTGACGTCCCCTCCTGCCCCCAGGCCCCAGGCAATCTCCTCTGATCTGGAAAATTGTTGAGTGGGTGAACATCTGCTGGCCCACCTCACGGGGCAATCGTGAGGACCAATGAGGCACTGGGTGTGAGAACCACTTCTGTGGGGAGGGGTGTCCAGTCACCTTAGCTTTGGCCATGTGATCCAGAACAACTGGAGTTGGAGCAGGGACTCTAGTAGCTAGAGCCCTTATCCCTGCCCTGCTGACACCCCTATTTGAGGGTGTGTCCTTTAGAATTGGGAGCCCTTTAAAGAAACTTCAATGGCAGAATTTTGGGCCATACAGTATGAATATAGTTATTGGTTGGGGGAGGATGGGAGGGAGTGGTCCACACAGAGGATCCCACATCCCTGGCATGGGTTCTGAGCCCTATACCACCAGCCTTCTGCCACCCCTCTCCTCACAGGGCTCTGTAACATTTGACTGCTTCGAGGCTGCTCTAGGAGCTGAGGTGCAAATCTGGTCCTACACTCAGCCCAGGTACCAGAAGGAACTCAATTTCATACAGCAGCTGCCTGGTAAGTGGATACAGAGCCTCCGGGGACCCAAATCCTAGCCTCCCTAATCTCTCACCCCTTTGGCCATTCCCCTCCTGCTTTCATCCCCTTCCTAGTCCTATCTACTCCCAGGCAGTGGTGTGAGCTCACATCCTCCCAGTCAGTTCCCATACCTGTGGAAAGTGCTTTGGGCACCGCATAGATGTGGGTGGTATCTAGGGGACAGGGAGCCCTTTGCAGAGCTCCCCATGAGTCGGGTTGTCCCCCTTCTTTCCTTGGTCCCCAGCCCCACCGGAGGCTTTTCTGTGATCTCTCCCCAGATTGCAGGGAGCTCGAAGTCCAGGATGGCATCCAGAGCTGCTGGGGTAGGGGCTAGGGCCAATGGGGCTGGGAGGAGAGAGGGCCAGGGTCTGGAGTGTGAGAAACCCTTGGAGTTGGCTTCAGGTCTGGGCTGCCACATTCCAGAAACTGCAGAACTCATTCATTCATTCACTCATTCATTCATTCACTCATTCACTCATTCATTCATCACACATGAACTGCAACAGCTCCTACTTTGTGGCAGCCACTGGGAACATAAAGGTGAATCTCTCACTCTCTGTAAAAAAATATTTATTAATATCAGGGACATCTAGAAGCTCAAAGCATTGCCAAGATTATGGTGCACCCTCCCCAATATATCAAATAAAAATATTAAACCATAAAAGGAGGGGCTAAGTAAGTCAGGGTTCTTATGGTTTTTTTCCCTGCACTATTTAGATTTTTTTGTTTTGTATTTTCTTTTTATTTTTTAATATATTTTATTGATTTTTTTACAGAGAGGAAGGGAGAGGGATAGAGAGTTAGAAACATCGATGAGCGAGAAGCATCAATCAGCTGCCTCCTGCACACCCCCTACTGGGGATGTGCCTGCGACCAGAATCGAACCTGGGACCCTTCAGTCTGCAGGCTGACGCTCTATCCACTGAGCCAAACCGGTTAGGGCTGTATTTTCTTTTTAAAAAATATGTTTTTATTGATTTTAGAGAGAGAGGAAGGGAGAAAGATAGAAAGATCGATGAGAAACATTGATTGGCTGCTTCCTGCACGCCCCCTACTGGGAATCAAGCCCACAAACGTGGCATGGGCTAGGGAGATGAGTTCAGAGTGGTCACAGCAGCCAAATTGGATAGGTAGGGCCTTGCAAGCCTTTGTAAGGACTAGGTTTTTCCTCTAGGAGTAATGACGGGGTGGGGGTGGGGGGGCGGGTAGGGGGCATCAGAGGGTTCTGAGCACAGGAGAATGAGTTATTTTATAGTGATCACAGAATCCTTCTGGCTGTGGAGGGAGAAGCAAGGAAAGGGTGATCTCAAGACCACGTACTGGGGCCTACATGAGCTCAGTCCCCAGCTGCC